TTCATGACAATCCTTTGTAAATCCCTCCGGTTTGCACTTTACTTAGCAATTTATCTTCAGCATTTTTTTATTGATTCAGGTTGATATGCTGTATTTTAGACAGCACTACAGCAGAAGAGAATGATGTTTTCCAGATACTTTAAATCAAAAGTAACTACACTATTTTTATCCACATGCATTTAATATAGCCAACTGTTTTTTATCTGCCCACTAAGACAGCAGAGTATTATTTTAACCATGGTTGAAAATGTCTGCATCCAGGTGTTCCAATACTGCTCGCTGTGTCAGACACGAGGAGAGAATTGCCATGCTTTGTGTAGTAGCACATGCAGTGAAACACACCACTTAACAGCTAAAGTAAGAACAGTCATCACCTGCAGTGTAAACTTAGATAATTCATTTTCACATAAAATTGTTTATGATGAGCAACAAATTACCAGATTACATTAAATTTTAAAATTTTTTTTAGCATTAAATAATCAAACCTTCAGTTTTCAAGTACTGGTATGTTCATACTTTATGGTAAAATAGCATGGATTTAAACTGCTTAATTTCCATTCTCATGTGCCTTACTCTGATCCAGCTTGGTTCTTAGGTTAGCCTTCTTACCACCACCTCACTGCCATCAGTGATAATATTTAATTTACTATGTAGTTAATTGCATCATTGTCAGAGGTACTTGAGTAGTGAGCAGAAAAAAGTCTTAAAGACAAAATAGCACTTCTTACTCTAGGAAAGAGGAAGGGGGAGCTTCTGTTCAGAAACATGACTAAAGTTCTGCTCAAGAATTTTCAGATGTCCTTAACTAGAAAAAACTTGGAAAATCAGTTTGTCCATTGAAATGAAGCTACCTTAACAGGCTCAATCTGCAGCACTCCTTAATCTCCAATTACAAATCAGTGTCATTGTCTTTTTCTTCTTTCACAGAGTAAGAGATTGCTGGTTTAGGCATTTAGACTCAAGTTAACCCAGCTTCATCCAATGATTAACTGCATTTTCTGTTATGTTCAGAGATTTGTAAGCAAGCATTTGCTTCAAGCTAAATTATGTACTTGTGAGCATCAACACGACTAAGGATTTTTCTGCTTTCATTAGTTCAATGATTGCAGTTTGCTTTATGCACACACAAAAAACTGTTGTTACATACATAACTATGAATTACGAAATCTCAGAAGTCAATTTAATAAGCATTTAAGAACTTTTAAAATAGGGGGTTGTTTTTTTTAAAAAAAGACAAGTTTTGTCTTCAATACTGGTTTTATTATATCACTGAATGTGAGAAAACTCAGAAAATATAACCAAAATTAGAGCTCCAGATGCCCTTAGAGAACTGCTGAACCTAAAATCATTTTTCAAAAGCATTCCAGATGACTTGGATAACTATCTTTGAATTTAATGTTCCTTTTCTTATGGGGAAAGAAAAAAAATACATATATTCTACTTCAAATTGTAAATGTTGCATCTTCTGTGAAGAATCTATCTTCAATAGGAATTAGATTGAGCCCTCATTAGAAAAAAGTATAGATGGCAGAATCTGTCAGATGAGATAAAAGCTTGGCAGCTGGCACTTGCTTTTAACATTTGATGAACCAAAAAAGGACTACAGTATCATTCTGAAGGGCAAGCACTGATGGGCAGGGAAAGTTCATATATTAATCAAGACTCTTCTAGTAAAGTTTCTCCAATTTATTCTCAAAAACAGCTTAGAGCAGCATAGTCTTGAGTTTTTCATTCAGCTGAAAAGGTTTGATGTTTTCAAGATAAGATTATGTCTCAATACTCATCTTCAGCCTGATGTCTCAACAGTCAACACAGAAAAAACCTGACTTGATCCTCTTGATTTTTAACATTAATTGGATCAATGCATAGTTTTCCCTATCCTGTAGTAGTTTTCAGGAGTATGGGGATTTTTTTCACTTTTAAAAATCATTACTGTATTTGTATTCTGTGTCATATCTTTCTGTTGGTATTGTGCGTGCTGCTGTTAAGTTGAAGGGTTAAGGGATAAACTACTTTCCCCTTCCCCCTAAATGAAAAACCTGCAAACAGACTGGAAATGCCAACAGAGATTTGCTTTCCTTTGAGAACAAACACTTGATTTACTTTTGTGGATTTTTGTTTTAGCAGATTTCCAGCAGTATGCTAAGAAAAGAGGAAGAAGAAGAGGAGGAAGAAGATGAAGATGAGGAAGAGGAAGAGGAGGAGGAATTAGATGCTGCTAAGGAAGTGAGATAACAGTACTGTTCTAAGAATCTCTTTTTTTTTTCTCAACTGGGGGGAAAAATATTTCCCTTTATGTAAAGGTTTCTGTGTGTTAAAAACTTCACTGAGGCTGTATTTTTATAATTCAAACACGAGCAAGAATTGGCACTAATAGTAGAGTGCCAGACAACAAATGACCAGTTTCAAAGAATGGAACAAAATCTGCTGAAAAAGGACAATTTCAGTAGCTAGAAAATGAAATATTTAAATAGACTCCTGTATTACATTTGCATAGATGTTACATTTGCTTGAACTTGATGAACAATGTCCAAAAACTGCACTAAGCTGACAAGCAGTTATGAACTTAAGAGTTAGCTTGTTATTTTGCCAAGATACTACCTTATTCTCTAGCTATTTACTAAGTCCTCTATCTATACCTCTCATATTTGGTTTTATACATCCTAAAGTAACTGTAGTACTTGAGAAACTGATTACAGCAACAGTCCTGTTAGATTTCATTTTGCTACCCACCTTGGAAGGCAGAAGGCAGGGTGAGGTGTATTGTTCTCTCATTCTCATTTTCCTCAGGCTTGACTAAGATGACTTTTGATTCCTTTACACGTACAGAATGAATATTCACAAATAAGGACCTAGCCTAGTATCTACTCTTAATGCTGCTTTGCTTTTAAATAAAAGTGCCTTCATAATAGAACTAGTTGATAATTTATAGTCGACATTTATTATATTAGTTGACATGCTAAATAGTTCACGTTTCATGTGTTTAACTGGTTAATTCAGGTACTGATTCCATCAAACATACAAGTTGAGTGTAATTTCTTATCCTGTTTGGAGAAGGTGGTTATGCACATTCATTTCTGAATAGCATACAACTGTCTGACAGAAGGCTGCTACCATATTGCTGCCTCCAGTGTTAGTGTCTGCTAAAGAAAGAACACATGTATAAATCCAGAATTTAAACTTGTAAACCAGGAAAACAATCTTAAATTGTAACCAAATATTCTTTCAGTTACGGAAATAAACCAGGAAGTGCATTTTTAATATTGATGCTGCCTCTGTCTACTGATGCAAAGGATGCAACGCATACTTGTTTTGACAGGTGAAAAAACAGGTTTTGCCAAAAATTAATGTGATGAAAATATAAGTGAAAATGTCACAGTGTAGGGTTTTAAACCCAGAAAATAGTTTAACACCAGAATTACATACTATTGACACTGAACTACTGCTGACAAGGAGCAGAATACTAATGACCAAAACCTAAAAACTATCTAGGTAATTCCAATCTATTTAGGCAAGTACTGCACTTCAATAAATATTTGTATCGCACATCAGAATTATGATGATCACCACTTTAGCACTTCATATTTATTGAAGTCATGTACTCCATCTCCAAAACAGATGGTTAACTTCATGACTATACTGGGTTTTCATATAATACTCATATATGCAAACTGATTATTTCTGTACTGTGCCTTGAAAAATGAATTCTGAAGAAAAAAGGAAGCTGTGCTTAGATTAATTCCCACTAAAAGATTATTAGCTGGGGTACAGAAAGTATTTTTTCTTCTTCAACAGCTTGAAATTCCTTCTTCCCTATCTCACACAAAAGTTGACTTTAGGAATTACAGAAAAACTTACAGAAAGGGAGAAATACAGTGTTAGGCAACTTTGTCCTGCATATATGATGTCTTAAGTTTGCATGTTGGACAGAAGTTGTGTGACCTCAAAACTACAGATGAAGTAGTCACCGACTAAAATATTTTAAGGGCAGAATAAGAATTTAGAATGTAATTAACAGAATTATTACATTAATAACAGAATTAAAGATATATTAGCAAACAGAATTTTTTCATGGCATAAGTGCTTACTGAAAAATTGACATTACCCCATTTGCTCATATATACTTTTGACTACTGACACCTACCTAGATGATGCAGGCTTTTATCCATTCTTGCCAAGAGTATTTTGCCACTCTGAACATGCTGGCCCATCCCTTTGGGACTAAGGATTATCTTCTTCTACTCATCAGATTGTCATGTTACAGTATTCCTGTATGCCACAAGCTGCTTCTGTATGTGATCACTATTACTAGTTTTTGATGGTAGAGACTACTGTTCTTTAACTTGTGACGTTTGGACAATGGTAGAAAAAGCAACTTCAGAGTAAGCATAACTAAGGAAACTATTTTATATCCACACCAAAAACTGCAGCATACCATCTGTAATTTTTTTACTATATGGATGATACTTAAAACGGAAGAGCAATACTAGGCATATCAAGCCATGTAATTACAGACTGTCTCTGATTTGTTCTTTATACTGAAAGTACAGTGCCTCCAAACCATTAAACACCAAAAGTTGTAAAATCCTCTTATCAGGAAATGCTGTCACACCACACACCTGTACCACACCTGTTCAGGCAGAATCAGACTATAATGCCTATACATACGCATCCCAGTTGAAGGAAAAGAAACCTAACACACTAACCAAAACATACTTGCAAGATAACAGCTATGAACTGAGAGTCAACTCTCCTATTAACCTTCTCATTTATTATTTAACTGATGTACTGGCATCCCTTCCCAATTTCATTATGCTTCAGAACATCTATGCATACTTTGGAGTACAGCTTTTGTCTTTACAGACCTTTAAAAAAACCCACTACTTTGGATTATTGATCAGACATTTCAGATTAACGTAGCTATAAACTCTAATCTGTCTTTAAATTAAAGACAAATTAGCTACAGGGCAAACAAAAAAACATTTTGAAATGTGTTAATTTCATTACAAGAATTCATGTGTGTATCCAGCACTACTCTAGAAGCATGGTAAAAAGTTTACCACTTTATTTTCAGTGTTTGAATTCTCCTGCTGTGTAGTGGCTAGAAGAACTTTAAAATCAACAAATCCTCTACAGCTGAGTAACCGGCAAAGTTACTTGCATTCACATTTGCAACACAGCTAGTAATACGGAGGCAAGAATTAGTAGTAAATATGATGTTAGCTTACAAAAATAATCACAATGAAGTTTTCACCAGCATGATTAGGTCAGACAGGTTTATTTTGGGATTCTTACAACACATCTTTATTTTCCCTGAGACATCTTCCAGCTCCTTGATCTTTTATAGCAGCTGTGAAATAAAAACACAAATTTGTTGGGTTTTATTTTAATTCCACTTGAATTCAGAGGATTCAAACCAGTATGCTCCTGAAGCTGATTTCTAACAGAAAAAAAGGGTATGTAAGTGTTCAGAATTTGAAAATTTAGCCACATTTATGTTTCTTTGCTCAGAGGAATCTACATATACAGACCTGGTATTATCATTCTCATTCAAAATGCTTTTTTCCTAGCACTTAAAACAGAGGGCAGACAATATGCAGAAGAACTAAAGCTACACTAGCCTTTTAAAAATTACAGAACCAAGCAAATTTCTCTTGAATTTGTTCGCTTCTACTTAAGAGTTTATATGGAAGTTTAGTAACAAAGATAACTTTACATAAAGTAATTGAGGTTTGACCATCAGTGAGAGTGATTATAGTCACTGGACTAGGGTGCCCAGAGAGGCTGTGGAGTCTCTAGCCTTAGTGCTATTAAAAAATCCAGTGGACAGCGCCTTGAAAAACCTGTTCTAGCTGACGCTGCTTTGAGAAGTTTGTTGGAAGGGACCTGGAGGTCTCTAGTCCAATCTCAACTGCTCTATGAATCTATTAATTTTTTGTATTGCCCAAGCAAAGGTTAAAACAAGTTGTCTTACCAAGTTGCAACTTTGTTGTCTTAGTCTGAGAGGGGACTAAAACTTCATTAAATTCTTTAGTACTCCAGGTGCAGTATCAACAAAAGTCCTTATCCACACAACCAAAGTTTCCTACTAAGCCTAAATGTTGAAGATACACTTTTTCCTCAGAACAGGCTAGCTTTTATTTCTTCCTGCAAATTAAAATATGCTGGTACCAAACCAATCAAAGCATTCTAAATACTGACATAAGAAAATAACATAGTTGGTTGTCAGCTTGGTTGCCAGTGACAGGTGTTAGTTAAAACTAATCAGAGATTGACCTGGAATGTATCCAGACATCATTAGTAAGTTAATATCCATATTATGAGCATGTGGAGATAAAACAAAGACCACTGTAAAATCTCAGGCTGAAGTCAGAATTCTTGATCTAATTCCAACATTGATTTTCTGCCTCAACGTACTACAGTGAGTGGGAAGAACAAGGACGCCTATCCAATGGATTAATACAGATTTTGCAGTCTTTGTAAACTACCTATTTATTTCTGTGTTGACAAACTCTAGTAGTTCGCTCTTTCCAGAGGAAGTAGCCAGCATCATTCTCACCACGTATGCTGAGCATTAATAGTTGAGATCATTAACTATAAAGGTTTTAAATATAAGACACACATTTAATGGAAATTTTTTTTATTTAAAAAAATTGCAAAGCCAGCTAAATGTGAACAGCTTTTTTCTTCTTTTAATAGGAATGCCTGCAAACACATGAAACCGAACAAAACCTGAACAGTTTATACAAAAAAAAAAAAAAAAAAAAGTTATTTACTAATGCAGGTAGCACTGAACTATTTGAACCGTTTGTGTAGTCAACCAGCACATTTTTATTTGGTGAAAAGTCATGGGACATGGAATTAAAGCAAACTAAAAAAAAAACCCAAACAACCCAAAGCATTACAACTCCATGTCTTTATACCTTGATGTAAGACATTCAGTGTCCTCCAGAATCTCTGGGCTCTTCTCTGCCACAAGAAGTAGGCACAATACAGTTCTCATATCTTAACCATACAGATACTTCAACCAAGAGCTAAACAACTGAACTAGATATTATTTACAACCGTTGATGGGAACTTTCTTCTGCATCTTCCAGTAATTAAAAAAAGTGAAAATAACTGCCAATACTGTCAAATCTAGAATGTTTTATTCTAGAGCATCTTTTCCTCCTTTACAGCAAGCTCAACTTCACTTTCCGTGGACCAATTGGCCTATCATTCAGTTCATTAATAGCAGCCATAGCCTCCTCATAGTTTGTCATAGCAACGATGGCATCACCTGAAGGTAATCCTTGTTCGTTGTACTGTACAGAAACCGACTCTGGTATCACACGGTAGCCATAGAAAAAATCCAGAATCTCATTAGGAGTAGCTTTAAAAGGTAAATTTTTCAATCGAATAGGAACAACACGTTCAGAACCACCACTGAAATTCGGATCCGGCATAAATCTTCCTTCAGGAAAATTTCCCATTTTATTATTCCCAAACTCCATTCTGCCAAAAGGTTCACTGTCACCACCAAAATCCATGAGGGGTGGCGGAGCTCTGAAATCCTTAGGAGGGCACATGAAGTCCTCAGGGGGGTGCCTAAATTCAGAAGGATGCCTAAAGTTCCCAGGGGGACCAAATGAATGCATGGGTGGCCCTTGCGGCGGACCAGATGGTGAACCAACTGGACGAGAAAGCTCACCCCTGTCATATGGATGTGAATGACCCTGCATTTCATTTGGTGCAGATAATGGTACAGTTACACCAAATTTCTGCATCTGCTCTTCAGATATAAGTCTTATTAATACCTCCGTTCCCAAGAATCTTCGACGATTTAAATTCTCTGCTTTCATGGCTTGTTCTTCAGATTTAAAATTCACTAATGCTTCTCCCAGCCCAACTCCTTTGTCATCATAAAGCAAGTAAATGTCATCTTCATCAATATCAAATCTTGCAAAGAACTTTTGCACTTCAATTTTTGACACATCAAATGGAAAATTCCTTACATAAACACAAATCTTAGGTCCAGAATGACCTTCCCGGTAACTTTTTTCCGGTATGGCCTGTCCAGGATGATCTCTGTCCTGTGATCTTTTCCTCTCACAAGAATCAATTATTTTCAACATTGACTTTCTTGAAATTGGAAAAATGTAAACGGGACGATTGAGAAGAACCTTTCTATGACATTCCAAAGCAGCCTGATAATCTCTCTCACTCCTTATCACCACAAAGGCATCTCTAGTCCTCCTCTGATGCTTATCCGTTAGAATCTTTATTTGTTTGCTGCCTAGATCCACATCGGGGAAAAAAGCTCTCAAATCTCTCTTCTCCACATTAGCAGATAGATTTCTTAAGTGTATGTAATATTCATGGTTGGGAGATGAACGAGAACGTGTTCGTCTCCTTGGTGATCTTGAATGAGAATGCTTCCTTGAATGCATGTAGCCTGAACTTCTTGGAGAACGATCTTCGCACAAGAAGTCATCTATTTCATTTGGCATGTCTACCCTCCCACCATATTCGATCCACCGTTCCTCTGTAGATGGGCTAATTTCTATAAACCTCTGACCCATATACTGTCTATGACGTTTAAGTCCTTCTAAGGCATCACCAGGCGTAGCAAATTTTACCAAGCAATCACCATTGTTTAAACCATTGCGATGCTTTATCAGAATCACTCCATCCACACGTATCCCAGAAAGGAAAGCACGTACTTCAGCTTCTGTTGCAGAGTAAGGTATACCACGTAGAAATAAGTAAAGATCATCTGGGTTAAATGGATGAGAATCCTTTCTCGACTGATAGTTTGATTTAGGCATACCTATATCACCATGTCTTGTGCCATTAGTATGGAAACCAGCCTCTGGATGATTTGGTGGACCATAACCAGGTTTACTTAATCCTTTTGGAAAAGGCGTGACTAAATGTGAAATGTCTCCAACACCTGATGCACCAGAACCATTAGTACCTGTTCTTCTAGAACCAGACATAGTTTCTCGTCCCCCACGGTCAAATCGTTTCCGGCTCATTTCTATGGTATTCTGCATTTCTGCCTTGCTGCTGAGAAAGAGCTCTATGCGCGAGTCCTTGATAAACCCTCCTGAACAGCTCATGGCACGCCGTGCATCTTCATCTGTTGCAAATATAATAAAAGCCTCCCCAATATCTCCTCCAATAATATGCACACCTCCATCAGGAATATTCAATCCCAAGAAGAAACGACGAATATCTGCAGGACCCGCAACAACAGGAAGCCCCTGTAAACGGATGACTACAGCCATGCTGAGCTCAACCCACAGCAAAAATCACCTGCAGACAAAAAGGTACACATGATAGCACGTCTTTAGTACTCAGCTATTACAGTATCTTAACACTTAAGAAGCTAGAGCCTTTTTAATGAATGTCCTTGTCTCAATCTAAACAGAAGATATCAAAAAAACCCACAAGTTCACAAGAACAAGATTAAAACAAGATTCACTGAAAGTTGATTAGTCAGAACAATTAGCTACTCCACTGGCACACGTGCACAAGTCTATCAATATTCCCTAACCTAAGGGCAACAAAAATCCACCTAAGTCACTCCTCACCATCCACAATACCTAGAAACACCTCAAGTCTTTCACAGCAGTTACCGTATGCCAGAGATCTCTGCCCAGTAGTCCTAAGGATCAAAAAAAATCCTGTGTACTTTTGAACAGGACACATGATCGTAACACAGAAAATACTAGATGATAAAAGGAGAAAGGAAAAAGAATAACTGTGTCGCTGGAAAATGAAGTAATTCACCAGCAGTGATGACTTTACTGCTTTGACAAGTTGCTCTACCCAGTGATCAGTTCTGTTCAATAATGTATGTTTTCTCAGTGTTCAAAACTGTTGGCTCTTTCATGTAGTCAGAGCATTAACTGCAGCAGCCACATGCACTCAGGAGAGCATATCCTACTTCCCAGCCACATGTCTGTGAGAAAAAAAGGCCACGTAGGATCTTGTCACAATACTCAGTGAGAAGTGTTAAGCTTTTGGCAGCTTACCTGTTTCTGCTTTGAAGACCTGATAAATTCTGTAAAATCAACTTAACTGTGGAAAGAAAATGAAACATAATTAATGGCTGATATCTGTACTTCACTTTACATACTGTGCTACAACTGCTGCAGCTCATCCATAGCAGTGGCTAATATTAAAGCCAAGCATGTAATGAACCCAAAATTCGGGACACTATGAAGAACTCCTTCCATGTTCCAAGATGCCACACACTGCATCTCTGCGTTTCCATTTTAGAAGCAAAAGAAATTAAAAATTTAAGTTGACTTCTGGAAATGATGAAAACACGATGATTACTTGGTCATCAATCGCGCCACACTGAACTGTTGAAATGAAACTGACTGACAGTATACTGTCAATTCTTTTGAGTCCTTGAAAGATGCATAAATCCATCTCAAGATTACAGGACATGTCCCTTCTTCTGAAATCCACCTGCTTTCAAAGTTCACCACCAGAGTATGCTACTCACCAGTCCAGCACTGCACTTAATGTACACAGTGAAGACAATCAAATCAAAGAACAGAAATAGCCCAACAGGAGAAACTTCAGGGAGTACTTCAATTTACAAAGCAAACTTCAGTATTTTCCCCTCTGTGTTTACTGCCTTTCAAACATAAGAACAAGAATCACTTCAATACACTGGCTGAAACATACCCTGATTGTCAACATTATCTAACATAGCACAGTACTCTCAGAACACACACAAGCTTCTGTAGCAAATGATATATCCCTTTAAAAGAAGAGCCCAACACACCAATGACAAGTGTTTGAGAATATCCCTTGTACAAACTCCTTGCTCAATAACAAACACAAAGCACTAGATCCTGATGCCAAGTTATCTATTGATAACAGTAACTATCACTCCACCTGACCTTAGCAAAAGAGAGCAAAGCCCAAATTCTGTAACTAATGGATTCTACGTCATTTCTACATCACCACTTCGTAAACACAGCTGAAAACAACTGCCTATTTAGTAACTTCACTAAAGATCATCTGTTCTCTGTATTTCTGTAGTGGATTGACCCTGGCCAGCAGCCAAGCATCCACACAGCTGATCATTCGCTCCTTGTTCCCACCAGCGGGATGGGGAAGAAAATAAGAACAAAGTAAAGAAAACTTGTGTGTAAAGATAAATACACTTAAATCAGTGAAGAGAAAAATGTGAAACAAAGGAGATCACTCACCACCTCCCAAAGGCTGACTGATGTCCAGCCTGACTCCGAACAGGCACCGCTTTGGAAGCCAATAAAAAAAATCTCCCCCCCAAAAAAACAAAGCTATCAAACAAAGACCTTTTTCTTCCTCTACCTCAGTTTTTGCTGAGCATGATGTTACATGGCATGGAATATCCCTTTGGTCAGCCTGGGTCAGCTGTCCCAGATGTGTCCCCTCCCAGCTTCTTGCCTACACCCAGCATATTCGATGGAGTGGCAGAGCGGTGGGAAAAAAAAGAGAAAGCCTTGACACTGTGCAAGTGCTGTTCAGTCATAGCCAAAACACTGATGTGTTGTCAACTTTAGCCACAAATCCAAAACACAGAACCATTACCAGCTGCTATGAAGAACGTTAACTCCATCCCAGCCAGACCCAGTATACTTTATAATGTATCTTCACACCAGATGTGAAAGCAATGCCCAAAAGCAAGGAGAATTCAAGGCAGAATTTTCTCATAGGACCTTCATGTCTTGAACAATCAAATCCGCTGCCCTGCTACTTCATGATGTATTTAATATGTAGCATTTCTGAATTTCACAACTCTGAATTCTTATCCCAGTTTTTAAACAGCATTCAGAACAGATCTCCTCAGTACTTCTTCGGTGATTAACGTAAAGTTGTCCACGATGTACCATGGATACAACATACAACCTTCAGTGGTGAAAACTATACACAGCGATTCCAAATCATAATGCGGTATTTAAGAAGTCCACAAACAGAAACACAAGTTCAAATAATTGGCTTTTACGGAATGTACATTAAAAAATCAAGCACTGGTAGAAAGTGTAGACAAGCCATCCCACAATTTTAAGTGAATGACCAAAAAGAGTGACTTTTGGGATGAAAAGTGCTATGCAAAACTCAGACCAATTCATTAACTGATGAAGGACTTCAGAGAGCAAAGATTTAGATAATAGATTGACAACTTCATACCACCAATTTAAAAGCACAGAATCATGCACACCATTTTAAGAAATTTTGTATTTAAACTGAGTTAACTAGAAAACAGTTCTACACCTATACTTCCACAGCCTCAGCAAATTCCAAATACCATTAAAATTTCACTAAAAAAAACACTTGTAAACATTGTAGGAAAATAAGCCTGCACTAGACTAGTATTTTTACCACAACGTTGAGAGTTTACATAGTCTGCATGCAGTGAGCAGGTGAGCTATAAAGAACACCCACATAAATACTCCCAACTATAAACTGGGCCAACATGAGAATAACTGGTGGATAAGAGAATGATTTCTTAGACTAATATTCTTCAAAATAAGTCTTAACAGTCAAAGTAAGCTACTGCTAAGGAGTTTTCACATCGCTGAAGGAAGATGCGAGGGAGCGCTGCTGCAGCTGGGCCCTGTTGGGCCCGCGACACGGCCGGCTTGAGCACGGGGCCGCTTCCGATCGCTGGGAGCTACAGAAAGCCAGCGAGACGCCCCGCCAGCAGCAGCACCCCTGGAGGGCCGGCCCGCAGCGGCCCTTACACCGCTCCGAGCACAGACAGCGAAGCACAAGCCCGGAAGGGGCGAGGGGGCCGGAGCCCAAGCCCAGGGCCGCGGGCGGCGGGATGAGCAACAGGGAGTGAAGGGAACGGGGTGAGGCGGTGGCTGCCCCGCAGCACACACGCCAGAGGCCGCTTGTGATGCGACCCCGCGGAGAAGCCCAGCCTCCCCACGGGGCACCGGGACAGGGCTCAAGGGAGGCAGCGGGGGGGGGGGG